GCGTTCGTTTGAAAGGTGAAATTGTCAATACCTTGCAAGCCTATATCAAGTCAAGGTCTTCTCAGTCGGTTGGAATGAGTATGGTCTAGCTTGCTCATTTCACGTCGAGGACTTCTCAGTCGGTTAGGATGAGTATAGTCTAGCTTGCTCATATCAAGACGAGGTCTTCTAAGTCGGTTGCGATGAGTATGGTCTAAGTTGCATATATCAAGTCGAGGTCTTCGCAGACGATTGGAATGAGTACCGTCTAGATGGCTCATATCATGTCGAGGTTCTCTCAATCGGGTAGGATAAGTATGGTCTAGCATGCACATATCAAGTTGAGGTCATCTCAGTCGGTTAGGATGAGTAGGGTCTAGCTTGCTCATGTGAAGTTGAGGTCATCTCAGTCGTTTAGGATAAGTAGGGTCTAGCTTGCTCATATCAAGTTGAGGTCTTCTCAGTCGGTGTTTGAGGAGTAACGTCTATCGTAATCATATCAGATTGATGTCTTCTCAGTCCGTTAAGATAAATATCCTAGAAGATACTGATTTAACCGTCTGTGAAGACTTAGACTTGATAAGATAAACGTAGAGGAAACTGATTTTAACCGACTGAGAAGATTTAGACTTGAGTAGAAAATGGTAGAGGAAACTGATGATATCCGACTTAGAAGATATAGACTTGAAAAGATTGGGTAGAGGAAACTGATTTGAACGACTAAGAAGACTAACACTTGATTAGATAAAGATAGAAGAAACTCATTTTAACCGACTCATATGACTTCGCTTTGATTAGAATGAGGTAGAGGGAACCGATTTAAACCGACAGAGAGGACTTATCATTGTTAAGTTAAAGGTGGAGGAAACTGATTTGAACCGACTGAGTTGACTTAGTTTTGATTAGATTAATGTATTAGCGACTGATTTGAGCCGATTGATAAGAATTGGACTTGATAAGTAAAAGGTATAGAAAACTGATTTGAACCGACTCATATTACTTAGCTTTGTTTAGAATAAGGTATAGGATACTGATTAAAGCCGACTGTGAAGACTTAGACTTGGTAAGATAAAGGTAAAGGAAACTGATTAGAACCGACTAAGAAGACTTAGACTTGATAAGACAAATTTAGATAAGACTGATTTGAACCGTCCGAGAAGACTTAGACTTGATTAGATTAGGTTGAGAAAACTGATTGCACAGACTTTGAAGATTTAGACTTGATAAAAAAACCGATTTGAACCGACTGAGAAGACTTAAACTTGATTAGATTAGGTTGAGGCAAATGTTTCCACCGACTGTGGATATTTAGACTTGATAAGAAAAATGTAGAGGAAGCCGATTTGAACCGACTGAGAAGACTTTCACTTGTTAAGATAAAGGCAGAGGAAACAGATTTGTACCGACTGAGAAAACTTAGACTTGATAAGATAAATAAATTGAAATACTGATTTGAACCGACTGAAAAGATTTAGACTTGATATGATAGAGTTAAAAAAACTGATTTGGACCGAAAGAGAAGACTTAAACTTGATAAGATAAAGGTAGAACAAACTGATTTTTGCCGCCTGAGAAGACATAGACTTGATAAGAAAAGGGTAGAGGAAACTGATGTGAATCGACTAAGGACACTTAATCTTACGAGAAGAAGGTAGCGGAAAATAATTTGAACTAACTGAGAAGATGTTGACGTAGTCATTTGGACCAACTGAGAATACATTGACTTGATGAGAGGAAGCTAGACGATAGTCAGAAGAACCGACTGGGAAGATGTTGAATTGATAAGAGGAAGTCGGACGATAGTCATAAAAACCGACTGAGTAGACGTTGACTTGATAAGAGAAAGCTAGATATAGTCATTAGAAACGAGTAAGAAGACGTGGACTTGATAAGAGGAAGCTAGACGATAGTCATACGATCCGACTGAGAAGACGTTGACTTGATAAGAGGACACTAGAATTAGTCATATTTACCGACCTGTTCAATTGATGACAGCATTCATTGAATTGATGAAATTGGTCCAATTGATGATAAACTTTCATTGAATTGATGAAATTGGTTCAATTGATGACAACATTCATTGAATTGATGAAATTGGTTCAATTGATGATATCATTTCATTATTGACGAATTTGGTTCAATTGATTTTAACATTCAATGAACAGATGAAATTTGTTTATTTGGTGAAAATATTCAATTAGAGGCGAATATGGTTTATGTGATGACGACATCCTTTGGCGTATGTCTATTCATTGAATGCTGTCGTGGATGAAATCCAATTGAGTCGATTCCTTGAATGTTGTCATCAATGACGACCAATTGAACTAATCCATGGATTTTTGTTAACAATGAATAAAATGAGTCAATTCATTGAATGTATTTATTTATTTATTTATTTCAAATGGCAGGCGTTTTGATAGTTATTATTAGCCCTTTAGCTGACTTCGGGCTTCGCAGACGGAAGAAACGTCAAAGTAACAGGAAGTCGAGGGATGGGGAACAGAAGAGTGGTTTACAGTTGTAAAAGAGACAGACACAAAGACAGAGAAAAGGTAGGATGATTACTGTGGAAGTGGTAGAATATGGCATCCAGTGAAGTTATTGTAGTTTGAAGTCAGGAGTCAACTGCCGGATGATAGACTTTTTTGCTGTATGAGTATACGTTGCCCAGGGTGCACCACGTAGAGGTAAGGTTATCGCACACCCCATTCATTGAATGTTGTCATCAGTGAAAAATTTTGATTTAATTCATTGAATGTTGTCATCAATGAAACCAAAATGAGTCAATTCATGGAATGTTGAAATCAATGAAAACAGATTGAGAGAATCCATTGAATGTTATCGATTTCAGGAATTCCATGAACTCATTGAAGATTGTCATCGATTTTAGGAATTCACCCATTGATTGAAGGTTGTCATCGATTTCCAGATTTCATCAATTCATTGAAGGATGTCATCAATTTCAGGAATTTCATCAATTCATTAAAAGATGTCATTGATTTCAGGAATTTCATCAATTCAATAAAAGATGTCATCGATTTCAGGAATTTCATCACTTCATTGAAGGTTGTCATCGATTTCATCAATTCATTCAATTCGTCATCTATTTCAGGAATTTCATTAATTCATTCTAGATTGTCATTAATTTCAGGAATTTCCCATTTTCTTTGAATGTTGTCATCGATTTGAGGAATTCCGTCAATTCATTTAATATTGTCATCGATTTCACGTATTTCATCAATTCGATGAAGGTTATCATCGATTTCATGAATTTCATCAACTCATTAAAGAATGTCATCGATTTTAGGAATTCATCAATTCATTGAAGGTTGTCATCGATTTCAGGAATTTCATCAATTCATTGAAGGTTGTCATCGATTTCAGGTATTTCATCAATTCTTTGAAAGTTGTCATTGATTTCGGAATTTCATAAATTATTTCAAGATTATCATATATTTCAGACAATTATAAATTCATTGAAGGTTGTCATCGTTTGCCTGATTTCATCAATTAATTGAAGGTTGTCATCGATTTCAAGTATTTCATCAATTCATTGAATTTTGTCATAGATTCCTGGAATTTCATCAACTCATTGAATGTTGTCATCTATTTCATGAATTTCATCAATTCATTGAAGGTTGTCATCGATTCCAGGAATTTCATCAATTCATTGAAGGTTATCATCGATTTCAGGAATTTCGTCAATTCACTGAGGGTTGTTATCGATTTCAAGTGTTTCATTATTCATAGGAGGTTTTCATCGATTTCGAGATTTTTATCATTTCATTGATCCTTGCCAGCATTTTCAACAATTTCGTCCTTTCATTGAGTTTTGTCAACAAAACGTGGATCTTCAAATATTATGCGTTGTTAGCTCGCTGAAATTCAATTTGTGAAGTTGTTTATATAATATCTTAGATACGTGTTAGCATTAGAGAGCCACCTAAAGAAATTAAAACGCGAACACAGCGAAACATCTTCACACATTGGGAGTAAGCACTCACCCCACACGCCGCCTATGTAACCTACAGGAGGTAATGGTGAAACCCACCTGATTCGGTGTACAGACCTAAAGACAACTGCGTAAACCCAAAGATACCGGGAAGCAAGGAAACAGGTGATGAATTGCTATTAATTAACTGCAATACATGTTCCCCCCACCAATGGAGGACGCCGAAGTCAAGGTTTTAAGAGCTGATGTAAAATGTCATATAGCTTGCCATTGAAAAATATATTTGTGTTAATATAGTAGAAATAATGAAGAACAAATATTAATGTTATTTCTATAGAATTTGGCAATATAATTGAATACTTTAAAATCGATTTATAAAAGGAAACTTAATAATATCACTAACACTTTAGTTAAATTATCAAAATATGAAAGTAGCACAATCATGACTTAAAGAAATCGAAACATAAATTTAGCACCTACTTACCACATTCTCTCTCCTCATCCCTCTAATTTGTGAATTTTCTCAACTCAAAAATTGATTAACTGAGAATTTTATTTACC